GTATGTCCCCTGCACCCCCTGCGCCCCGTGTGCCCCCTGCCCGACCCACCGTGTGCCCTGTATGTGCCATGTCCCCCACGCCCGACCCATCATGTACCCCATGTGCTCCGTGTGCCCTGAGCCCGACCCACCGTGTGGCTCTGTGTCGCCCCGTGTCCCCCATGCCCTACCCCCCGTGTGCCCCGTGTCCCCCTGTGTCCCCTGTGCCCGACCCACCACATGGCCCCTGTGCCCTGTGTCCCACCGCCCGCCCCCCCGTGTGCCCCGTGTCCCCCTGTGTCCCCCCGCCCGTCCCACCTCGTCGGGCTCCTCGCCCAGCGCCTTGGCGGCCGCCTCCAGCAGCTTCACACACAGGGTGCACTTGGGCGCCAGCAGCGCCTGCACCGCGGCCACCTCATCCCCCTGCGGAGAGGGGGACAACGGGGGGGTGGCGGGAGCCCGCAGCGCGTCCCCTCCATGTGTCCCCCGTGGTGGCAGCGGGGGGCTCAGGGCTGCAGTGTCCCCCGATGCCGTGTCCCCCATGGTGGCAATGGGGGGCTCGGGGGCCACAGTGTCCCCCCGTCACCGTGTCCCCCGTGGTGGCAGTGGGGGGCTCGGGGACCGCGGTGTCCCCCCCCAATGCCGTGTCCCCCATGGTGGCAATGGGGGACTCGGGGACGGCGGTGTCCCCCCCCGATGCCGTGTCCCCCGTGGTGGCAATGGGGGGCTTGGGGACTACAGTGTCCCCCCCCAATTCCGTGTCCCCAGTGGTGGCAGTGGGGGGCTCGGGGGCCGCGGTGTCCCCCCCCCGATGCCGTGTCCCCCATGGTGGCAAAGGGGGGCTCGGGCGCCATGGTGTCCCCCCGTCGCCGTGTCCCCGCGCGTGCTCACCGGGCTGACCCCCGTGCCGGCGCAGAGCTCCTCGTCACCACAGGGCTCGAGTGCCGGGTCACGCTCGCCCAGCACTGCCGAGGGGGACGGGGGCCGTGAATCCCCACGGACCCATCCCATGGGAGCCCTGTGCCCTTCACCCCCCATGGATCCATCCCATGGGAGCCCTGTGCCCTTCACCCACCATGGACCCGTCCCGTGGGAGCGCTGTGCCCTTCACCCGCTGATGGAACCGTCCCATGGGAGCCACGTGCCCTTCACCCACCATGGACCCCGTCCCCATGGGAGCCCCGTGCTCATCGTTCTGTGGGCCTGTCCCGGTAGGGACCCCCATGCCCAAGTGCCCATCTCCATGGGGACCCCCATCCCCTCCACCCCAGGGTGCCCGTCCCCATGGGGACCCCATGCCCAAGTGCCCATCTCCATGGGGATGCCCACCCCAGGGTGCCCGTCCCCATGGGGACCCCCATCCCCGGGTGCCCATCTCCATGGGGACCCCCATCCCCTCCACCCCAGGGTGCCCGTCCCCATGGGGACCCCATGCCCAGGTGCCACCCCCAGCCCCCCGTCTCCGCCGCGTCCCCGTGTCGCTACCTCCCCCCGTGGCCAGCAGCAGCAGCAGGGCGAAGGCGACGGCCGCGGCCATGCCGAGCACCCCCAAAGCCGCTGTCCCCCACGGGTGGCCTGTCCCCGCCGCGGGGCCCTTTATAGGCGCGGGGACACGGTGCCGGGGCCCCGCTGCGCCAGTCAGCGGCGCCCAAAGCCCCCGAGCCCCTAAAATGGAGCGAGGGGGCCCGGGCGCCCCCCTTCCCCCCTCGCACCTCCGCCCTCGCGGTCACCGCAGCGAGGCGAGCGGCGCGCGGGGACAGGATGCGGCGGGGACTGTGACCTTCGGGGGGGACGTGGGGGGCACGGGGGACAGGATGCGGCGGGGACGTGTCACCTGCAGGGGGGACATGGCGGGGACATGGGGGGCGCGGGGACAGGATGCGGCGGGGACGTGTCACGTCTGCACAGAGGGGCACGGGGGACACGGGGGACAGGATGCGGTGGGGACGTGTCACCTGCATGGGGGGGCACGGGGGGCACAGGGGGTTGTGGGGTCTGATAGGATGGGGGTGCTCTATGGGGTCCCTTGGGTCCTGCTGTGGGGATTGGTTCTGTCAAGGGGGTCCCTGGGGTCCCTTTGGGGTCCTGGTTGGGACTTGATCCCCTCATGGGGCTCCTTGGGGTCCCTTTGGGGTCCTGGCTGGGATTGATCCCCTCATGGGGTTTCTTGGGGTCCCAGTGTGGGGTTTGTTCCCCATAGGGCTCCACAGGGTTCCTCAGGGTCCCATGTCCTGCCATGGGGCTCCATAGGGTCCCTTTAGGGTCCTGCTGTGGGGCTTTCCCCCCCGTAGGTTCCCTGCGGGTCCCAATATGGGGCTTGTGTCCCCATGGGGCTCCATTCCGTCACTTTGGGGTCCCAATGAGGGGCCCGTGTCCCCATGGGGCTCC